ATAAGGGGAGTTGAATGCTATAGGTAGAAATTCGTCACATCTAGGCTCACTCAGACAGCCGCCACACGCCCGGAAAAGCACTGTACGCGCGTTTCATCCTTTCGGGAATCGTCAGCAGTGCGCATTCCATCGGACCCTGGTAGGGCTGGAACCCGCAACTCGACTGTTGCCAGTCCGTGGTTAAGACCACTGAGCTACGGGGGACGGCAACGACCATCGTGAATAAGTTACTAGATGTGGTATAGCGCCGTAAGTCAGTGGATAGTGAGCGGCGCTATATCACATCTAGTAACTTATTCACGATGGTCGTTGCCGTCCCCTGTAGCTCAGTGGTCTCAACCACGGACTGGCAACAGTCGAGTTGTGGGTTCGAGCCCTACCAGGGTCCGATGGAATGCGCACTGCTGACGATTCCCGAAAGGATGAAACGCGCTTACAGTGCATTTCCGAGCGTGTGGCGGCTGTCTGAGTGAGCCTAGCTGTGACGAATATCTGTCTATAAAATTTATTTCTGTTACTCCGCCATTAGTGTTATCCAGCATAACCATTACGGCGCTGAAAAAGTGAATATATTTACATATACACAACTCTCCATGAAATGTATATTATTCACCCTAAACAATGTATGTAGCAGCCAAGTACCTAACCCAAACCGCTGCCGCTTTGTTTTCACTTTTTTGGACGAAATATGGTTCCTTTAACGTGGAAAATGGGTATTATAACACCCATTCACAAAGGGAGATATTGATCTGGTACTGTCATTTACCGCGCCGTAACCCTTATCCCTTTTCTCGCCAAAGTAATGGAAGCGATTATCGCGAACGTACTGATAGGTTATCTGGAAAGCTACAGCTTCATTGTGTCGGAGCAGTCCGGGTTTTACGAACATTGAACATTCCTACGAATCTGTTGATACCACGTCACAACTGGACTGGAACAGTCGACTAGGGGACAGGAACCGATGTTAACCACATAAATATTCGAAAGCTTTTAATCGCTTGGGGCATCGAATCCTCTAGCAAAAGCTTCAGCACTACCACATCGGCGACCTGGTGTTAGGACGGATTGGTAATTTTATCTGTCGACAGCAATAGCAGATTAGAGTCCGAACATCTTTCCAACCCATTCGAGTAAAGTGCGACAGGCCGCAGGGTTCGGTACTTGGACCTCGCTTCTACTTAGTTTTCAGTAATGATCTAGGTAGTGTTTTCTCCACGACATGTTTGCTCCTTGCTGACGAACTTAAAGTTTGGTGGCGGATCATGGAAATTAATGAACACGAGTTCCGCCAGGGCGACTACGATGGGGCCTTATATTGTTCGGTGAGGAAAGCACTACCATTCAACGTGGACAAGTGCCGTGTTGCTCAGATCCACCATAGACATGCCTAGAGCTGTAAACTTAGGCCGCATCATTTTCAGACCAGCTCTCAAGAATATGACTTCCATGTGCTGGTAAAGAATGAAATCGGTTGTTCCATGCAGTCAGAATCCGCTTTAGAAAATGGTAAACAGCATGTTGGTCTCCTGCGGTGGACATAAGAGAATTTTGGTTTATCGACCTTCTCTCTGAATCCCTAATCCTACGTGCGTTCCCACGTCGAATCCGCAATCCAGTTTTGACCGTTGGCCAAAGTTTGATCTTGCAAAGCTCGAAATCCCCAATGTCTAGGAACGAAATTTGTCAACATTCCGTTCTAGCAACGACTAAACACAGTCGGAGTGTTTAGAGGAGGCTACTGGCGTCTACGTAGAGACCTCATATAAGTACAAAAACTTGTGGCAGCGTCGTACACAAATGTAAATGTCGAGCTAAACTAACCTAACAAAAAGTAAATGTCCAAAATATGTGTATTGTTAAACGTATTATAACCTACACGAATTAATTCCGCCGCCTTTTTCACGGAAATATAGGAAAGCGATAAAAACAAAAGGAAAAACAATCTACAAGAAAACCTAACCAATGCCCACAAAGCAAACGCGTTGACAAACAACAGCGCTCTATTTCAAAGCAGTCCCAGGGAATAGTTCATCTTTTCGAGTTGCAATCCAACAGCTTTTTCTACAATAAATGTCACACAATAGCATTTAATCTTACCCAACGCAAAAGTAAAAGGAATCAAAACATATGGAAAAATTTAAACACAAAATCTAATTCCATTAGAAACCTGATAATATTTGAATTCAACCTTGTAGCAAACTTTCATTGGAATCAATGAAGGTATTTCGGAGAACTGCAACTCAGCACGAGCTGGAGATTTACATTCTTATTTATATAAATTCAGGCAGTTGTTCGTTCCATGTATATGCCTTCGGATTCAACAAATCGTACTTATTCTGCTTGGTTGCGCATTTTCATACGCCTCCGTGCTTTGCTAATTGTCATTGTCTGCATAATTGTCGCTGTAAACTGGTCACGGGTCTCAGACTTGGATTAGGTCTGTCGTACAAAAGCATTCCTCTTGATTTCGTGTGTCCTGCTCGTCTTGCGGGTAGACATTTGCCCAATATTCAGCAGCAGCGTTTTAATCTATCTGAACTCTTTCCACATCAATGAATGTTATACCTGATCTATGCAGATGTGAAGCTTGTTTGAATTGTTTGTGGAGAACCAAACCTCGGGAAATTCCCTTTAAAGTTTTGAATTCCCACTTGGTTTAAGATATTGCTATGTTCCAGTCGAAGCTGTGTCCTTTGAGATATAGGTAAAATGTAATGCTGAATATACGCTAGGTGTTCTTCACGTTCCGTTGTATTTCAGTCAGTTGCTGACAATGTCTTTTTTTCTTATATAGTTTATAGCACAGTTTGTTTCGTACACAACATTCGCCATTAATTTACCACTGGTGCCGCTGTTGGAAACGAGATTTCTATGCGTATCTAAAGAGCTCGTCTCGCTTTCTCCTGGCTAAGGCATTTATGGCGCCGCCATGATATCCGTCTCTCCATCAAAGGATAGGTTTTTAATGCCACTGTCCGCGCTGCACTGTTGTATGGTTGCGAGACTTGAACTGCTCGTACGGATTACCTATGTCGACTGTCTGTCTTTGAGAACCGATGCTTGCAGTCCATCGCCCGTGTGTGGTGGCTGAAACACATAACCAAAGTTAAAGTCAGACAACGTGTCTTGGGTGGAGGCAGCCATTCCCTCGAGACGCTTGTCTCGCTGCGCCAACTACGAGGGCTCGAACACTTACTGCGTATGCCCGTTCAGCGTCTTCAACGTCCTGTCGTGTTCGCGGTCGTTGGATAGGGTAGGAGGAGGCAGTGTGGTGGATAGCCTACAACTTCAAGCACGATACAAAAGCTTAAAAAACAACTGGCGACGGTTGATTCCTTTCGACTGCCTGCACGGGGCCCTAAAGATGCTGAGTGTAGTTGGTTGGAAACCTTGGAAGTCAAAGCTTGAGACCAAACTCAGTGGTAACCTGGTAACCCTGCTTGTTGCGGTGATTCCCTCCCCTGTCCCAATAAAAAAACATCCGAAAATATCAAAAGCTGGGTGGAAAAGATTGAAAATAGTTGTTTATTTGCTTTCTTTTCTCATTCTTCTCCTGTGTCTCTTTTCCGCCATGGTCCCGATGGCACAGCACCTACACACAGACTGTGCAATATATATATATATATATATATACATATATATATACATGTATATATATATCCCCTCTTAAAATGGTTGGTGCGCTTTTCCAATTTGGCAACTGAATTGTCGACCACCTGTATGTGGAGCAGTTGAGGCCATTTGGCATCGTGTCAAACGTGTGCCACAAGCATCGAATAAGAATACACTACATTGTTGATAACAACGCCGAGCTGATTGTGGGTTTGTGGATTAAACATCTATCGACGAATGAGCATATATCCAGTAAGCTCAAATGACTTTAATAATTGATTCTCCACATTTCGGTTTGCTTCTTTAGTACGTAAGCAAAAGTATAGTCTACAAACACTGGTGCTTATTGTAAATTTTGAATTTCTTTTAAAGCGAGATCTGTGCTTCCCTAGCCTAAATTTGTAATCATTGATGCAAATAAGAAAGGGATTCCTTTCATGGCCTCGATTCCATTGTAAATTGTACGTCGTCCATGGTGTCGTCGAGCAGCCGTTTTGCTGTTATTGCTTGCGTATGATAACATGCCATTAAAATATTTAGGACGTAGGGCACCACATTTTCGAATCAATAAGTGACCATAATCTCTCTTCCAACTGCTGCAAAACCATATGTTCTATCCCCTTGGTGCAACTCTGAATTACTCATAGACTTCTCCGTTGAAGTTATAGTAAGTTGAGTAGCTCTCGTGGTCAATATTTTATGCTACCAGGTATT